AGTGAAAACTGTCACTTCTACAGTTATTCTCGTGGAATCTCAAAATAAGCTGTTATCAGTTAGAAATCATCCAAAGTTATATGTTTTTAAATGGAACAGCCTGTATATTTTCTTATATTTGAAACATTGATGATATGCGCTTTTCAGTAATATATAATACTTTTCACAATATTAGTATTAGAGAATTAACATCAAATTTAGATAATGTACGATTTCTTTGTATATTTCTCATTGATCCGCCTTGTAGAAGTGTGGCAATATTTTTATATCATGAATTTTCGATCATATCCACCCTGTTGCTGACATAGTGTTTTGTAAAACACTAGTTCAAATTTTACCAACATTCATTATATATATTATTATATATCATATTCAGCACTATTCATTGACTATAGAAGCTGTGGAACTGAAGAAAAGCGAGTGCAGAATGTTTTATAATTGTTGTCATCTGAGTACCCGTCGAATTCCACACAATGGCGAATAATAATCCAGGATATGGAAACTACGGAAGATTACCTATACAGGGTGTCTAGAAATTATGCGAAAAAAATCAAGGGGGTGATTTTACATGATAAAATAAGAAATTTATTTCATATGTACGTGGGCCCGGAAATGCATAGTTTTCAACATACATTGTGTTGAACTTGAAAAAAATGGATTTTTTATGAATATCTCAGATATCCTTCCACCGATTTACTTGAAATTTGGCAGTGATATTTTTTGTCATAAGGGGCTGATTTAGCCATAATTGAATTGGAATTAAGAGATCCAGTGGCGTCCCAGGGGACACTTTACCGAATATTACTGTCAATAAAATTTGCGCCACTGATTTTTCCGAATCTCGAAAATATCCTATTGACCAACTAAAAATACAAAATTTTTATCTCCTGAATTGTTTTGATATTCTGCTTCGTTTCCGTGGAAAAAGATAAATACCAATTCATTGAATACATTTGTGCGAAAAATTCCTTCAAAGACTGAGGTGAAAATAAATTTGTGATCCATATCCATAGACGTAGAATAAGAATGAAGAATCATTCTCTTCGAATAATTTTATGAAACATGTTTGACACACTTTACACTCTGTATATTGAGAGCTATGTATTCTCGAAACCAGGTACGAATGAAAAAAAGCATGTTCTCTCATGTTGAATCACCTCCAAATTTTTTTGCGCACGATTTCTGGTCACCCTGTATGTAACGTTACGATAAATAAACTGTATGTCACAATCTATTAGTTACCAATGAAACAAAGACCTCATTCAGTCAAGAAATTGTGTGCAAAAATTCAATTTAAAAATTACAAAAAGTTCGTATAACATTTATACAAAAACTCAATTATAAAGTTGCCTTCAAAGTTGATATTATCAAAATGAATATTCTATTATTACTTTCTTTCTATGGAACTGATTAATTTCAAATTTGGCACAAGGATTATAATAATAATAATAATAATAATGTTTATTTGCATTTCATCAAATTACATATATATCAGTAGAATCATGGCATGTTGTTGTGAGCAAATAAACAAATACCGTCCATTTAAGACCGTTTACGGTTGCGCATGGACGTAAGTATTTATTTTCTCATTTCATTAATCAATATCTTAAAGATATATATATGCAAGAGAGAGAATACTTAACATTAAAAAAATATATATATATAAATATAATAAAAATTCTTGTACAAAAATGAGCATAGTATACAAGTACTTGCTATTATATTGTATACTAATAAGCTGAAATCTAAGATTCATATTAATAGTGAAAATAAGCAATATAGGTTTATAATATGTATAGGTTTTTGAGTAATGGAATGACTAATATAATGAATGAATGATGGGAGGGTATGAGAATTCAATTCTCCAAGAGGTTGTTAATTATATTCCTATCAGTGAGGTATAGAAAATACTTTATTTTGGATTTGAATAGAGCGTCAGAGTTGATATGATAAACATATAATTTATACATTTCTGGTAAGAAATTAAAAATCTTCACAGCAAGGTATATGAATGATCTCTGTCCTATCGATTTCCGAGCATAACACAATTTCGCAAATTTTTTGCTTTTATTTCTTGTGAAGTGATTGTGTGATATATTTGGAAGGATATGTTTATTCTTATAAATAAATATAATCAGATTAAAGGCGTATAATTTTCTGATATCGAAAATGTTAGTCTCCTGGAAAAGCATATCGGATGGGTAAGTTGATCTTCTGTTATGAATTATTTTCAGGATTCGTTTTTGCAACACAACTATTTTTTTCAGATGACATTTGGATGCACTGCCCCATGCAAGAATTGCATATTGTAATCTTGATTCCACCAGAGCATAATATAAAGTCCTAAGGTGAGGGATATCCAAAATGTTTTTTAAATATTTGAATTTAAAAAGTAACATTCTCAAAACTCGTGCAACATTATCTATGTGAATATTCCATCTCAGGTGTGAATCAACTGTTACTCCTAGGTACTTGATTTGATGGCTTGATTTTATTTTAATATTATCATTGGGTCCTTCAGTAATGTTTAGAGATTTAAAGTTTGGCAGTGTATTTGCATAACTAGTGAAAGGGACGAAAAAAGTTTTTTCATAATTCACTGTCAATTTTTTATGTCTGAACCAGTTGATTATTTTCAAAAGGTCTGTTTCTGCTTTAATTTTGAGGTCGTTCCATGTATTTGAGGAGTAGATTATTGCCGTATCGTCAGCGAAGCTGATGATTTTTCCACTAGATCTCAGCAGTAGTAAATTGTTGATGTACAAAGAAAATAATATAGGTCCTAATACTGTACCTTGCGGTACACCATATTTTATAGTTCTGTAGGAGCTGTGACTATTTTTTACTTTGACTTGCTGTTGCCTATCTTTCAAATAATCAATGAAAAAATCCAATGGTACTCCTCTCACTCCTGAATCCTCCAAGACATCCAATAGTTGCTTGTGGCAAACTGTGTCGAATGCCTTGGCTAGATCCAGGAATACGCAAAGCACAGGTTTTGATTTATCAACAAAATTATAAACATCTCCAATTAATGCAGCAATAGCATCACCTGTTGATAACCCATTTCGAAATCCGAATTGGTTATTCGAAATAATATGGTGCTTTTCGAAAAAATTCGTTAACCTGGATTTCACAGCCTTTTCGATTATTTTTGACATTGTCGATATTAGCGATATCGGTCGATAATTACTCATACAGCTTTTCTCTCCTTTTTTATAAATGGGTGTTATGACGGCCTTCTTAAATTCTGTTGGAAATTTTCCAGTTTCGAAACATTTATTTATCAAGTGGACTAACAGTGGAGCTATGATATTTGATATAGCTTTCAAGGTCTCGGTCTTTAATCTATCTTTGCCTGGTGCTTTATTATTTTTCAAAGATTCTATTATCTCAATGATCTCTTTTTCATTTACAGGTGCCAGGAGAAATGAATTCAACAGATGTTGTTTTTCTGGAGGAGGAGTCTTTGGAGCAGAAATATTGTTGGCGAGATTTGAGCCCACCTCGGAAAAGAAGTAGTTGAATTCTTCGGCAATATCTTGGTCTTTTGTTAATAAAATGTTGTCTTTGGAAAGTATGTTTTTGATTTCATGGTTCCTATTTCCTCCTTGTATTTGTTTGAGGACTTCCCAAAGTTTCTTTGAATTATATTTATTTCCATCAATCTGATCTTTGTAGAATTTAGACTTTGCTGATTTTATCATCTTATTCAGTAGTTTTCTGTGGTTTATGTATAATTGTTTCTTTAGATCATTGAGAGGATCATTTTTGAATTCTGAATAAAGTCGGTTCTTTTCTTTCAGTGATATTATTATTCCAGATGAAATCCAATCTTTTCGTTTGATTAGATTACGGTTAATTTTCTTTTTTTGAGTGCTGTCAGCAATAAGGTGCCTTATGGTATCAAGTAAGAATCTGGTCATATTATTTATATCATTACTGCTATAAAAGAGTGACCAATCGGCAGTTTGCATTTTTTGCTGAAGAGTATTGTAATTTAAGAACTCAACTATATTTTTTCCTTCATTTTTTCCTTCATTGGTATAACCAGAGAGGGGAATAAATGCTATAGTAGCCTTGTGATCATAGGTGATTTTGCTTTCAAAAACCACTCCAATGCAATTATCAGCTCTTGAACTGTTTTTACTACTAAAAAATATATGGTCAATGCAACTTCTTGAGTTCCTCACAGCGCGCGTATAAGTATTTATCAATGAGAAAAAATTATATTCACCAAGAGTATTGAGATAATCTGAAGCCGCATCTGAGTTACCCTTTATATTTATATTTATGTCACCAATTAGTATATGGTTATCAACTCTGTCAGCTCTATTCACTTCCTCCAGGTACCCACCTAAATCGTCAATGAACTCGAGTTCATCCGTGGCAGGAGATCTATAGATTGATGTAATTAGTAGATTTTCGTGATTATTTAATGAAATTTTAGTTTTAAGTACCTTGCATATGCCTATATTGCATATTTCGTAAGAATAGTTGAAACATTTCTTCAAAAATATTACAACCCCATCATTTTTGTTGACGGTCCCTTGATTATAAATAAAATCATAACCATCTATATTGAAAATACTACAATCTGGGATATTAAACGTTTCTGTTAACACAATACAATCATATTCGTATGTTAATTCTGCGAGATGTAATTTCAACTCATCTAGATTCTTATTCAGACTGCAAATATTTTGATTGAAAATTTTGAAGTACCCTGTTTTCAGAGTTTTATTCAATTCATTTAATTCTTCTACTGCGTGTATCTGTATGGTGATATTTTCATCAAAGTCTATATCTCTGATAAATGGATCCATTATATGCTAATAAAAACAAAATAAAGAAAAAATGTTGAACTACTGAGTATTAAAATAGCACAAGCACGATGAGTAAATCATAACTGTTCAACTATAACAAATGTTGATTCATATGAATATTATTCCAATTTAGTTCAACAATAACAAATATTAATTCATGAATATTATTCCAATTTAATTATTTCTTCTTTCTTGGGACCTTGTGGTTACTCTTTTCCGTGGATGCTCTAATGGTGATATAGCTGTTTTCTTCCTTTTTTGAGACGCTTCCTTTCTTTCAATTACTTCTATATCAGACTGGCTGATGTGCTGCTCCTTTTCAACCAGATCTTCGTATGTGAACTCCACACCATCTATGATTAGGGTGTTATTTTTTATTCTTGCTTCTTTTCTATTGTGTTTAGCTTCACGGAGTTTACTATAAAGGTATTTTCTTTTTTGATAATCTTCTTGTATGTAATCTTTGGAGACAAATATTCCAGAGCCTTTTAGTTTTGAAGAATTTTCTAGTATACTTGTTACAAGTTTATAGTGTATGAACTCAACAATTAACGGGTTATTTTGTTCAGAATCTTTGCTTTTGATTCTATAGTAGTCTCTAATGTCGTTGGATTTGCAAGGAGTGTTTAATTTATTGTTGATGATTTCTAGTAGGAACTCGGCGTTCTTGAGTTCGCCCTCTTCTTCTTTCAGTCCATAGAATATTACATTAAATTTCTTCAATTTCCTCTCAACTGCGTTCACTTTTCTGTTCAGATTCTCTACTTCTTCCCTCAGTTCTTTATTTTCAGCTTTTAGTTCCTCAATTTCCTTAGAAAATGTTTCTCTGCATTCCTGAACTTCGCTTTTGATGTCTTCGTTTTGCTTCTGTATATGCTCACAAGTACTGCTCAATTTCAGTAAAATCTGGTAAATTTCCTGGTTAGAAATTGATTTGTCCTCTCCCATTATCGTTACGCGTGAGGAATGATAATTTCGCTATAGAAGCAGTGCACGCTCTCCTCATCAAGATGTTACTAACTGCTGGGTATTAATTTTGATCGTCGGTTGACAAGATCCACCCGCATAGAAGTCGTCTAAGAGTCTACGAGTTTCGCCTTCCACTACAATTCTTTCAACATGCAATAGTGAACCTTATACTCACTGGTTTTGCTGGTGGAATTGTGGTAATTTTTCCAGATTTTCTTCGAATTTGGTCGTTGTTACACAATTTCACTTATAACTACTAGTGCACTATACTCCTAGACACATGTTGAAGTACAATAATATATTTGTTTCGACTTATTTCTACGTGATTTCAGCGGAATAAAAATGTAAATAAACAGACGTTTACTGCTGCCTGACAGTATACATGAAGTTACTAATATTCTTTTGCGACCTTGGTCTAAATTATACTTGGATCCCTCGAAGCCGATTACACTTTACTGCCCTTGTCCTAACCCGGCCAAAATAGAATCATAACTTATCCTTAATAATTGTATTTTCATTTTCAAAGGTATAAAATTGCAGAACATATGGAAATATTCGGAATATGTCCTCCTGTTTTATCGTGATAAGAGACCGGAAAAATAAAAAAAATCAACAAGTTTATTCAGTTAGAAATCATCACTCTGTTCCACTAATAACTTTCTGAAAACAAATTGAAACATATTCTTTATAACAAAGTTTCAGTGATTTCCTTCCATTTAATGGCAAACATTCTCTCTTTTTGTTTGATTACCTCCCACATATCAATAATTCGTTGCCTAAGAATCTTCATTCTCATTCTATGTCTATGGTAAAGGATCACACATTCATTTTCACCCCAGTTTTTGAAGGAATTTTTTGCACAAATTTATACAACATATTGGTATTAATTTTTTTCCACGGGAACGAAGCAAAGTATCAAAACAATTCAGGAGACCAAAATGTTGTATTTTTAATTGGTCAATAGGATATAGAGAATAAAGATATAGAATTCAGATAAATCAGTTTCGCACATTTTATGGACAATTATATTCGGTAGAGTGCCCCCCGGGACGCCACTGGATTTCCTAATTCTAATTCAATTATGGCTAAATCAGCCGCTCATGACGAAAAATATCATTGTCATATTGTAAGAACATCGGTGGAAGGATATTAGAGATATTCATAAAAATTCGATTTTTTCTTACTAACTTTATTTAACACACTGTATCTTGAATACTATGCATTTCCAGACCCACGTAAATTATAAAATAAATTTCTTGATTTCTCATGCAGAATCATCCCTCTGATATTTTGCGCATAATTTCCGGACACCTTGTATATTATGGTTGGGATATAAGTTGGTTCCTAAGTTTTCGTATAGTTTTGATATCCTGGATTATAATTCGCTATTGGATGGAAAATTCGTAAACAGGTGACAAGAATAATTATAAAACAATCTGCACTCGCTTCTTTAATATACAGGGTGTTTGAAGAAAACCTAACTCCCTTGCTAGGGTAGGAAGAACATTGCAAAATAAGCTGGGTTTGCTCAGTGAAAAAATGTCGTAACGGCATCCGTTTTCATGATACAAGGTGTTGAAAAAATTAGTTTCTTACACATTTTTCACGATTATTCCGAAACTATTGGCCACCTTGTGATGACATTTTGTATGGATGTTTCTCGAAATCTGACACATCGCATGAATTTATTATAATATCTGACTCTCATAGAGGACGCTAGTTACACGGTTCGTACCGAGTAGTTTCGAACATAACTTTTTTGTGGTTAGATTTTTCAATCCAAATATGATATGAACTTGAACATCATTCAATATTACACCAAAAAGGTAGTCTTGGTGAAACTCGATACTATGTTCCGTTTTCGGAATATTTCGATTTGAAAATAATGGAATAGTAATTATGCTGGTAGAAAATGAATTTTATTGAGTTCAATTACCTATTTATTCAAGTTCAAAAACGATAAAATTATTCTTGTGCTGAAGTCATTGATTGAACAAAGGATCATATATAGAAAATTAAGAGATATTTGACTAGGAACATGAAATATTGAATCAGTTAGAGTAAGTGTTCAAAATATCCTACGTTTCGAGGAATATACGATTCTATATTCGTTTTTTGAGAATGTATAATTTTTCTGAACAGTTGAGGATCAGCTGTTAGGTCATTTAAGTGATGTTCAATTATGTCTCACAACTCTTGACGTGAATTTACCCATGAAACATAGACTTTCTGCTCAAGATACAACAAAACTGTGTACTCCATGTTCTTAGTCAAGTATGTTCCGATGTTATTCTTGTGATTCATTGTCAAATCAATGAGTTTCGCATTGGAAATGTATTGTTGTTTTCGGTTTTCATAATACTCACTTCAATACGTAGCTTTATACCAGCAACAGTTACCACTTCATCCTTTTCAAATCGAAATATTCCGAAAACGGGACACAGTATCGAGTTTTACCAAGAGTACCTTTTTGGTGTGAAATTGAATGATGTTCAAGTTCACATCAAATTTGGATTGAAAAATCTAACCTCAAAAAAGTTATGTTCAAAACTATACTCGGTACGAACCGTGTAACTAGCGCCCTCTATGAGAGTCAGATAGGAAAACAAATGCAAGCGATGTGTCAGATTCTCAAAAACATCCATAACAAAATTTCATCACAATGCTGCCAGTAGTTTCAACATAATCGTGAAAAATGTGTAAAAAAAAATTGTTTCAACACCTTGTATCTTTTTTTTTATCGCTTCGAGCGCACGAAAGGAAATCCCTATGTTCAAAGAACATCGTGCGTTCCTAGGAAGGATAGGGAAAAGAGGTAGGTATTGGAATTTTTTTTGAACTTCTGGAGATTATATGTTGTTAGGAATACTTCCTCAGGCGTTACGACATTTTTTTACTGAGCAAACCCAACTTATTTTGCAATGTTCTACTTACCCTAGCACGGGGGTTATGTTTTTTTGAAACACCCTGTATAGCTATCTACTAATTAGGTCCACAGCTCTTATAGTCATAAATAGTGCTGAATATTGGTAAATAGTGCTGAATATTGGTAAATAAAGATTGTTAGTAATATTTGAACTAGTTTGTGACGAAACACTCTGTCATCAACAGGGTTAATATGAAAATTCATGATATTGGAAATATTGATACACATTCACAAGGGATCAATGGGAAATATAGTGAAAAATTCTAAATTATCCAAATTCAAGGATAATTCTCAAAATAAATACGAAAAGCTTACAGTCATATTCACACAATGTTCATGAAATGAACAACAATGGTAGACTTTGGGAGTAAAACAACTACTTTTCTGGATAATACCACGCAGAAAATTGAATTGAATTCTCCCGAAATCTATGCATCGACTCGTATAAACGAATACTGATACAAGTGAATCTTTCCTGAATGACTATTGATTTCGATTTAGCCAGGCCGCGCTAGACACCTACAGACCGGTTTCGAGCCCTTTGACTCTCATCAGTGCAGGGCATTCTCCAGCCAGCAGTCCTAAGACCGCCGACTAAGCGAAGCCTAGCCAAACAAAAATCAAGTCGACAATATGTTCCCCCAGAGGCGTATTTCATAGACAATATGAAAGCAACGTCACCTGAGTAGGAACGAAGGAAAGAAACACTCCAAAACTGATATTTCCATACGGGAGTGGCTGGTTGCCCGACTGGCGTGATTTCTCAATTCTCAAAATACTTATCGTATAAGTATTGGAAAGCGCAAAGCATCAGTGATTCAGATATTGAAAAATATGCAGGGTGTTGATTGTCGACTTTCTCGACTGATTTATTCCACAATAATGCTCCAAATATGAAAATACATTAGTTTTTATTGAAATAAGCAAAATTGGATTACATTTCTTTTTTATTATTTTTGTTACCTTGGAAATTGTCAAAATTGTCAGTCAAAGCTAACTGAAATCTGAACGGTCATGATATTATACATAGTGCTCCTTATTGAGTTAGTTACAAGTATAAACATGCCGCCCCCTTGAAAGCACCGACTTTCAATACATTTAACAAATGAACAAGCCCTATACAATATGAAATAAAATGGTCTCAACAATTGTCTTTTTCAAGACATGAATCATCAGTTGAAGGCAGAATGCAAAGTCTTGCAGCAGCTCTCTTCTTGATACCCATTGAGGTACGCACTGATGCTACACGCACTACACCATCTTCTCCGGGATGGACCTCGGTCACTCTTCCGAGCTGCCACTTCAATGGTGGTAAATTTTCATCCTGAATAATAACCATCATTCCTGGCTGCAACACATTTGAAGCTGATTTCCATTTGCCTCGCTGTTGTAAATGTGACAGGTACTCTTTGGACCACTTTGCCCAAACATGTTGAATCAACTGGGTCAACTGATGATAACGTTTTATCTTGTTGGTATTGTATGGTTTCAAGTCTTCTTGGGGTGTAGCCATTAAACATGAGCCAATCAAAAAATGACCTGGAGTGAGCACATCGAGATCGTCTGGATCTTCCGAAAGTGGAATCAAGGGCCGAGAATTTAAACAAGATTCCACCTGTGCTACAATAGTGTTGAATTCATCGTAAGATAGATTCTGATTCCCAATTACTCTTTTCAAATGATATTTAGCTGATTTGACAACTGATTCCCATAATCCTCCAAAATGCGGAGAATAAGCTGGAATGAAATGCCAATTGATGGAGATACTAGCAAAATGATCATTAAATTTTGATTGATTAGAAAAATTATTCAAAAAAACATATAGCTCTTGCAACTCATTGTGAGCTCCCTTAAAATTACTGCCATTATCAGAATAAATATTTTGACATAATCCCCGTCTGGCAGTAAATCTTTTAAAACAATTCATGAATGCTTCAGTGCTCAAGTCATTCACCAACTCAAGATGGACAGCCTTAGTGGCAAAGCACATGAAAACGCACAAATATCCCTTGATTATTTTTTTTACATGTCAAAATGTGACGTTTTCCTTGTT